GGTTGCAAATCGATATCCATTACATACACATGGCAGTGTGCAGGAATTCTGAAAGAGAAGATGCTATGAAACTTCAAAGATCCAAATTGACTTTTTTCCAGAATTTCTATCTAAGTGTTGTGATTAGAAATAAGGAAGCGCACCCAATGGCGATCTATATAAGAAATTATATATTGTGAAGGAACGGTCAAATTAGACATCAATCCTTTTTCCTCTCTTTACATAAGGACCAGAGACCTATGGCGAGCGGAAACGCTGGGATCACCAGGACACATCCTTCGCTGCGAATACGCGTCCGTCCGCATCCTTAGGAAGTCCGCCAGTCTTCCCCTAGCTCAGTATCTCCTTATTCGACCATCGACCCTATAGCGAAAACCACTTTCAGGCAAGAATCAGGATTAAATTGATGGGGTGATTCCACTCAAATGTGAAAGTAGGGGTGAAAGGTGGACCGCCAGTGGAGAAAAAAAAGAAAGAAAATCTGAAATACACAGGAAATATGAGCATTTTGCTCCATGCTGTGGAGAATTCAAAAGACAGGCAGGGAGATGAGAGATAATGTGAGCGCGGAGAGTGGTAGAGAAGTCCGAGAAGAGAGAGCATAGCAGATCAACGTGGCGACGCAGACAAGATATCGAACGGTGGGCGGACCATGTTAAGTTTGGTGGAGTCTGTTAGAAGTCCATGGCGCCTAGGGTCCTAGTGACGCGTTTCGATGTAGAAAGGTGGCGCTACCTTTGCACTTGCGTACCCAGCACTTCTAGCCATGGTAAGGGCTTCTTATATGAATCTGAGCCCGAACTTCGCCTTTAAGATTCCACCCATTCCTTACGATTTGCTAGTACCCATTTAGGAGAAGAAATGGTTAAACCTTGTATTGTGCTGCTTCACGAATCAGGACTTAAATTTGGAATACATATTGTAATGAAGCGACCCTAATCACCGTTAGGAACGGGGGGCGGGGGGGAAGGAACTCGTGACAACGGTTTAATGAACCGAACTATCGTGGAAACTTTTAGAGAAGTTCTTTTTGATCTGTTTTTTATTTACTTATGCAGCTTTTATAGCCTTTTCAATTAAGCTTTTGGTGCCTTTTTGTGTTTGAAAAACATGTTGAAAATGAAATATTCGCTCACCTAGGGACCCGTACAAGATTATGAACGATGAGCTGCCGCCATCGCTTCGACACCTGCGCTGCCGATAGCATCGCATCGTGAGGTGGAAGGAATTGGATGATCTGAATAAGTAAATGCATCCATAGTATGTCTCCAATTAAACACAGGAGCTGCACGTACAGCTGGCGGCCCTAATGTATGCTATACGAAGTTATTACGGGATTTCTGCCAACCTTGAGGTTAGGCAATTCAGGGTTTTGTGGTACTGTCTGGGATCTCTCACAAACGCACAGTATTACAGTATTTCTGCTTTCTTTATTTTCTTCAGAATCGTAGTGCTGGTACCACTCAAAATATATGCTTTCCTCCACCCTCATCCTCTCGTTGACAAAAGCTATGTAACCTAATTGAACAAATACAAACGAATCCTTAGTCATTCTTCTTCACAATTTTCTGTATGAGCTTACCCTGACGAGAAGCTCATTTGGGTAAACGATTGATGTCGACTTGATAGTGAATTGGTTCTGAATATGGTGGCATCTGTCGTCGTCACTCTCCCAGCAACGTCATGACCCTCGATCGAGGCGTTTTACTGGAATCATCTTTTTATGCTCAATTGTAGGGCAACATTTCGTTTATTCATAACACGACAGGTAAAGGGAAAAGGAGATATCAGCTAAGGTACCTATCAGCTCAGAACAGGTGAGGAAACGAAACTCGACTAAAATAAACGACTAAAAGGAGAATTCGATTGGCCTATTCAAACCAATAATAAGATGAGAATAGCAACAGAAAAAAAGGAGAACTGAGAAAGCATAGACGTACGCCATCGCCGAGTCCGTCCTATCTCTTGTCGAATGGGCGTGCTCATTCTCGCTTGCATTAAAGTTGGAATATTGGGTCTACTCCATTGGTCTTGCAACAGACAGCATGCACTGGCTTTGGTTTGCCCACCCACAAGGAATCTGATCCAATTGGATATCAGCAGGAAGAGGTGGGCTGGCTTGAAGTCATGTTAGCCCACTGAATGACTTCTCACCGTATCCTCTGTTGTCCCAGTTGAAAGAGGGTCCCTCTTTTCCCTACGTACTCATTCAATTAAAAATTTTCTACCATGGCCTTTTAAATGTTCCGATGGAAGCGGAAGTATTCGCCGTTACCATCTCATGTCATTTGCAAACGATAACAATTTCCTTCTTAGAAGATAAGAGCACATCTAGAGAGGCTTAAGAGAAAAAAGCCCTTGAATCAACTTTCGCTATGGAGAACGTTCGAGTAGAAAGCACAAAGGGTGCAACATGGTTTGTGCTGGGGGAGGGGATAGTCCGAAACATTGCGTCAGAGTAAGGAAAGCGCTCTGTTCCAAGACGAATTCCTAAACAACAGGGACTTCGGGGTGCGCGGGCAATTTTCATTCGCTCCGAAGCTACAGATCGCCCCTCCCCTCCTCCCGGAGGCACATTCGCCTCACAGTTTTTGACAAAATATAGTAAATACTGCAACTAGCCAAAAGAAGAAGAGGAAAAGCGATTTTCTTTTCATGACTAAATGTTAGAAAAAATAGACTGTAAATAAGGGAGAACAAAAAATCGGCTTACTTCCTTTCGCCTGTGCTCTCAAGTGGATGTCAAGCTATTAAAAAAACACATACATATTCTCCCTGCACTCTTTTGATAAAAATCTAACAAGTCTTTCAGGACATGGGACGTTTCCAAAATGGTTTTCTGAATGCTGTAGAGGTTCATGTGAGGGAATGTCAGAGCAACGTGGAAGAAATGGCCCAAAGTTCGATCCCCGTGGTGACAAATTTTGCAATTATGTTGGCGCCTCCAAATTGCCGCAAAACACGACAATGACATCTATTCTCGACGATGGCGCCATTTGGCGGCAATCTGGGGCGCCAAACTATATTGCAAAAATTAGTCATCACCGGGGATCGAACTCTGGACCATTTCTTCACCACTGTTTTGACATTCCTGGAGGCGTTCAGGAAAAATGGATCATGGTTCTGTGTTCCTCGCATGAGCCTCTACAACATGCAGAAACCATTTCGAAAAAGCGCTCCATTGCCTGAAAGACCTCCCATGCGCTGATAAATTCTTTTACACTCGACGAAGTTGATCTCCACCTAAAATGCGGGGGCATTTGCACGGGTAAAGAAATTTGACTCATTCACCTTTTCAGTTTAGGTTCCTTCGCCTCAACGTCCTGCTTATATTCTACCTGAGACTAGCTAGCTAGCCCCAGAAATGTGAGAAGAGACCATACATATACAAAATACAAACATAGCAAGACAATTTCTGAAGTTTCCATGAAGTTTCGCGAAATTGTTGAAAAGAGTATAATAAATCTTCCCAAAACGCCACCATAAACTGTGATCAAATCCGAGCGAGGAAGCCCCTACACCCGCTCCCACTCGACGTAATATGTAGATAGCTCTAAACGAGCCGGAGTTCGCGCTCCTCATGTTTCGCATCGTTTATGTATCCATTTATCATTTGACATCGCCCATTTATCATGCTCCTGCGACATTATGTGTAATTTAGCGTAATGTCGCGGGGAAAGCAACGGCATCTGGAGAAATTGGTTGACTCTTCTAGAAGTTAGCAATTTGCCAGTTGCCTTGAGACACAAACCCGTCGAAGTAAGTTGACAGCAGGGAATGTAGAGATATATAAAACTGTTATGTAGCACTGTGAAATGACTTGGAAGGAGTTGGAGCGTTGGCAGGAAATCTCACACTGTGCCAGTCCTGTTCACTGGTCTTGATAAAATTTTCCCAGAGCGAGAATAGAGAGTTCTTGGTCTCAGGGAACGACGACCAGTTTAAAGGGCGGTGGTACTACAAGAATGGTCGAAGAAGTGTAAATACGCTTACTATAAAAAGAGGCTGAGCCCCAAAGGAACCGATACGGGGTGCATTCGTGGCGAAGGAGACGCCCACAGTGATGTAAATAAGCTCTACTTTGGGCGTCTTCGTCCTTTTACCCGCCTCACCGCTTGGCTATCCCAACTGATGAACTCTCACCGTCAGACTCTAGCTGTTTTGATGGAGAGGCAGAGCATTCACGCCGATGACTTCAGCACCCACAGCGCAGCCCAAAGTGGAAATCTGCGGAGAAAACAGGGGTCGTTTTGGGGGTTGTAGGCTGTTTCCCTTACTTTTTCTCCAAAACTTCACCTTAGCAGCTCTACTACTTCCATCAGAGAAGATCTAATTTATTGTACCACGTGTTCTCAAAGAAACAAAAGAGGGTTGAAGGATTCGATGAGGTTGCAGGTCAAAGCAGAGGAAATATACCTAGTCGAAAGGCAGTCCGACCCCTCCAGGTGCAACATGATGCGCGTTTCGCAGCGAAGAGTATGTCCTCAGCGATCTAGCGAAGCCGTAGGCGCCTCTTGCGCCGCGACACGCCCACCTCCGCGCCGTTGTCCCTTGCTGTTCAGCAAGGAGAGAACGTTAGCGTTAAAGAAGATGGCACTGATAAGAGTCGCCTAATGCGGAAATCAACAGGCAAGGAAGGGGCTCATTTCTCGAATTCTAGGCCATTTTTTGCGATTTTTTTATTTTCCTGTACCCCTGACCACCTTTATTTTGGTTTCGGTGAGCTCCCTTTCGTCAAAAGTTCCGCTTTGAATAAACGAAAGAAATGAGGAAAAAAGTAGTAATCAAATGCAAGTAAGATGGCTGTTTCGTGGGCGAATGCGCTACTCTTTAGTTGGCAAGCAAGTTATGCGACACCCCCCCCACTCTCTTTCATTTTTATTTCTGCATTTTAAATTTTTTCTCTCCTTTTACATTCCTAACCGGTCATATACCTACCATGAGTGTCCACCACTTGTCTCCAACGCTCAGGAAATTTCTTGATGCTCCTCTGCCAAAACATAGCGGAGTGCGGGTCAAGAAAGGAGGCGACCTCACTTCCGAGTTGGATTTGATCGTCTAATGATTTCGTTATCAAGATGATGATTAAAGGTCCCGGGATAGGTTGCAGTCCTTAATAAGCACTTGACCAGGGGACTACGCTAAGAGAGGTAAGGAATCTTGCCGCAACTCCAGAATTTCTTACCGGGCTCATTTCGGATCATGGTGATTCGCAATGTCATGAAAGAAATGAATATTGTCGCGGTACGAGGGCTTTGACGAGCTGCCTCGGCCAGCTTCTGGTATTCCACAGCCTAGGCCTCTACCTACACAATGGTGCCCATAACGAAGGATACGTGTAGTAAGAGCCTCTGTCTAGAGCCCCACCTGTAATGGAGTGTAGGCGGTATGGGAGCTGCTGTTTCTTATCACCGATTATCAAGCGCTGGTAAAGGTGAAACACGCTGTATCGCTGAACGGCATGCCATCAGAAGCTATTGCAGATAGTGTCAGTCGTTCACACGAATCCATGGTTTTGTAGACATTTGTACTAGACAGTGACTCGGAGTACGGATTTGCTAGTGATGTCGAGATTTTTATCTCGATAGTATATTCTTGGACTAAAATACGACACTGCAGCACTTAAATCCACCTCGTGGATTAAAGCCTCGAGAATGCTCTACCATTTGTTAGTCATAAATGTTGACCTATGGATTGTTCAGAAAAAAAGAAAATTTGAGAAAGAGTGTCGCAGGACTTTCTTGCCAACCTAATAAAATACTGACGATCCCAAGAGGAAACTCTTTAATAGGCGTATAGAGTAAAATTGATGAAATGAGCCTCCCAATACCCACTCTTAACTATCCCGCCCGCCTCCATCACCTGCCTCTTCCCCCGAGTAACCAGTCTTCCTCACGCCCGCAGTGATAAATGAACTTTGCGTGAGCACCTTTCAGTCCGCCATAATGCGCATACGCTTGCTGAGTAATTGAACAAATTGCTACGCAGATGGTCAAACATGTACATTTTTCGTCTACAAACGAACGATAATCAGCTGTTAAGGAAAGCGGTAATTACGACCTAAAATGATGAATCAAAAACGGGGAGCGGGTCGAGATAAGAATAGGTTGGATGGCGTTCGTGCAACAAGTGACATCACGTAGACGAACGTTGGCGAGAGAAAAAAAAATCGGCGCCGGTGGCCTAATCGAAGCACTCGAGCACGTGCCTGCCTTATGTGGCTGAAAAACCAGTCAATGCTGCAAAATGAAAACAAATAGCAGGAAATCAGTAGAAAAAGAACTTCATGGCTATCCAGTTTGAGCTATTCGTCCAAAAACGCAAAATAAAAAAATTTTATGGCTCTTACCTCTGGCTGTTAGGAAAGGGTAAGTGAGCTTATTTGGGGAGGGATCACAGCCCGTTTTTTCCCTACCCTATTTTCAACGGTCATAAATACTAAAGGAAGGGTAGCTTCATAGGCACCGCCCGTCAAAAAATAGAAATGCATTTTAGGAAGAGGATCTGCTTGATAACCATTCTCAAGAAAGAGATGTAAGTAATTTACTCATCTAGACGCAAATTTATGATAAAAAAAGCATCGCACCGCTGTAAAATTAATCTTAAGGATTGTGAGCGTTAACAGAAAAGAAAAACTAATGAGAA